GTGCGGTAGTTTCCGAGATCCGAGTTTTGGACGTATACATCGCAAGCTCCATTATAATAAGATTACGACATTCATGAAAATAAAGTCATTGTTTAATAAAGATTAACAACAAGATCACATTCATAAAACTAAAGTCATATTGTTCGAGAAAGATTGACAACATGACCACATTCATAAAACTAAAGAAAGATTGACAACATGACCACATTCATAAAGTCATATTGTTCAAGGAAGATTAACAATATGACCACATTCATAAAACTAAAGTCATATTGTTCAAGAAAGATTAACAATATGACTATAGTCATGAAAATAACGTCATATTGTTCAAGAAAGATTGACAACATGACCACATTCATAAAACTAAAGTCATATTGTTCAAGAAAGATTAACAATATGACTATATTCATGAAAATAACGTCATATTGTTCTAATAGTATATCAGCGTGATCACATCCATAGAGTTAAAGTAATGTTTTCGAGACATTTTGACTGAAATTGGAGAGGTTATCTTGATATACATGTAAACACATTCACATGTCATAGCTTAAATGTTAAAGATCAATTTTACTTTCTCAGCAAGATTAATTTCTATATTGGGTTTTGAGAATCGAAAGACAGTGCATATAGGCTGACTATGATTGATTAAATTATGAAATGAATCAAAATAAAATTTAAAGGAAGCATTCGGAGAAAACTTCGGAAATAAAAACCAGCTTTTTTTTTGTGCGTGTTTCTTGCTCATAAGACCAACTTAGGCCTCAGCTATTTGTTACATCTTTATGTTTAGTTAAAACTAATGGTGGTAGAGCCGGAAGACACACAAAAAAAAGGTGTATAAGTCACAATTTTAGCATCTTGGATTAGTTTGTCGAGTTTTACAAACATGTATCTGTATTCTTAGTTCGGATTAAATAAGTAACTAATAAATGTATGAAAGATTTGTTTGTCCTTCTATTAGTCAACAAAGGACAATGATATGCAAAAAAAAAAACAGTATGAAAAACTTGTTCTGTATTGGATATACAAACGTAAATATGGCATGAATTGGAATTTTCAACCAACAAAACACTAAGACCAGATTACATACATCTAGGGTCCGTAATTTTGAATTACTGACCAGTATAGGATGGCACCAGAAAGGTCGTCTTCAACTTTTTAAACAGAATGTCGGGATTGACCGTCAATTTTATAACGAGCCCCCCAGCTGTACGTGTTCAAAGACATGTAGTTTCGAACCTTGGACCCTTTGTAACGAAACCCGGCACACTAACCACATTTGGAACAAATGTTGAACGAACCGAGAAACATTTAAAAAAATAGTTCATCGTGTCAGCACATGGGTGTATCCATAGTATAGTAACAGAAGTTGTGATTTATATATTATCTATAATAAGTTTATTGAATTTGTTTTACTTATCCTTCTTTAAAAAGTCCAGTTAACATGGGTTTTTACTTTTTAATAACAGTTAATAATTTTGTTATTAATTTATTGAAATGGAGTTTTCTCGAGAAATTATGACACTAAAGAATTGCACTTTTTCTGCTCTTCGAAAATTGTTTGTTTGTTT